TTTGTCTGCATTTCACGCGAGATTTTTGTCTTCGCCTTTTAGCAGTCATGGAGCCCTGCAATCTCTTATGGATTTCACAATAGAAGTAGTTAAGATACCTCAAGATAAGGGCATATAAATCAGATAAATTGTTCTAAGTCTATCTGCATTTTCAGTGAGATTGAGATCTTCACTGTTTATTGTCCATGAGTCCTTGCAACTTGTATGAGTTTCATAACAGAGACATAAGATTATCAAAATAAGTCAGATATAGTCAGATATGTCACGATTTTTACTGCGTGAGCATCCTGTGAGTTTATGTAGTCTCACAAGAAATATGATCAAAAAGTGATGTGAGCATATATATGATCAAAAAGTGATGTCAGCATTCATAATACCTTCTGAAAGGGGCACATGAAGATTCAATATATGATAGCCTGCTAGGCCTTTATTTTATGCTTGTCATAGTTCAACCCTTGTAGCAGGACTAGGATGATTCATAAAAATGATTCATAAGCCTAGGATGTGCTCAGACTAGACTTTGTTAATTTGACTTTTACTCAAAGCATCCTGCAACTAGGTGGTCATGTTGCCTTATATAACTGTAAACCTATAATGTAACTTTCTGTGCCATACTGTGATCATAAGCCTAAAAATATTCATCCTTCAAGTTCTTTTATTGCGACATATGGGACCTTCCAGCTCTATAAAACATTGTTTTAATAAACCTTTGGCAGTTCTGTCATCGTAATAATGATATCCAGCCTCACTAAATTTTGGCTACTTGATCAAATAGATAGTTTGGTTACTGGATCCTTGAGTAAAGTCCCCAACAACTTTAAAGTTTAACCATGTAAAGCAAGTTCAGCTCATGATCATATCCTATAATGAATCCAGTATACTTGCGCGAACCAAATAAAATGGTAGTATATCAAAAGTAATGGCGCGATAACCAAAAAAGTTGACGTATGGATCCTTTAAAGTTGACGTGGGTAAACTTTGGCATACGGTTCAAGGGCTGTGCAAACTCTAGCTTTAGTTTTGAATATTCTAATAAGGATGATGTCCAAAACATGGTCTGTCCTTGCACAATGATGTCCTAAAACTTTAAAATATTCTTCAAAAGGACAATATCCAATATCATGGCTTATCCTTTGGTGCGCGATACTTATCCCTTCGTGCTTCAAAGTAATAGAACAATTTTTATCGCGCGATAGATATGAATGTGGCGCAACACATATAAATATGATATGTATAAGTATGGGCTTTTCAATAAGCATTCGGGTTTGTGGTTTCAGAGAGCATAAAAATGGACAATAGGTAATGGTCACACGGTTTCCACATGTGAAAAGTTGATATCCCTCTCTTAAACTCGCGATATGTATCATGGTGCCTATGAAAATAACTCAAAAACCCAATGGTCAGACTACAAGCATCCCTTGAACTTCAAATCTGGACATCGATAAGTGTTGCGTCGCGCTCTCATTGTACGGGCATCGCACACTGTTTTGACTTCATTTAAAGAATGCTATTGGCTCTGCGCAATAAATGTCTTTGCACAATATATTTGACCAAGCTATTGGCAGAATGCTATTTTACTTTGATAATATATGTTTTGTAACCAATATATTATATCTATTGGCTTTACACAAAGACAAAGCTATTGGCTTTGCGCAATAAATGTCGCCAAATACTGTATGTAAGTTTTGATATTATATTATTTTACATTTTATTTGGTCTTACTTTATCTCAAATGATAAGCCTTTTGACCAAGCATGATGACATCACTTTTAGTAAGAAAGTGTGGTTTATGCATGGCTTGGTTAATTTGTGGCTGGCAAGTATATACAATTGATACGTGGCAAAAATGGATGCCCCACAATGCTTATATGGTGAATTGTGTGACACAATTTCCGGGATATGGATGGTATGAGACTGTTTATGTGAGATTCACAACATCAGTATCGCACACTATTGGGAGATATCCCATTAAAAGTGGGATCATTGCGTAGTAATCAGGATAATCCAATTGGCGCGATGAAACATTTCATCCTTGCGCGTGGTAGACAATCATGGCTTGTGCAATGATCATATATTTGTAGTAATAATTACCTCCAGTCACGAAATATAAAAAAACACAAGCAGAGTGCGTGTACCTTTTTTGGGTAGGAGTTGAAGTTGTGCGAAAATAATAGCGAGATAGAAAAATAAGAGTATTGGGACTTCCCTGGTATCCTTCCGCGTTGGTTTTGCACATAGCGTTGGTTTTGCACATGGTGGTGGGAGTAGAAATTTGTCGTCCCCACAGACGGCGCCAATGATCAGACTAGATAATTACAAATGGGCAGATCATGTGATCTTCCTCTACACAGCCTGTGAACGTCTTGGGTCAGAGCATCTTGCAGTTGGGCCGCTTTATCCCATGGGTCTTCTGTGGAACGCGATGGGGGTGTACCTGCAAGACACTCCGACACTCAAGTCAGTTATGGTTCAAGCGGGTTTAAGTATGTAGAAGAAGATGATGTACCTTAGTGTTGATACATGCATTTATAGTGGAGAGATGAGCAGCTTGGGAAGATGTTACTTAGTGATCAAGTTTGCTTTGCCTTGGAGGCTAAGTAATTGAGCTGCCATGATTAAATGTTGAGGAGCTTGCTGTCATGGTGTCTTTAAGGTTGAGGAGCTTGCTGGCTGTCATGGAGCTTGTTTGTCATGTAGCCATAAATATTAAGGTGCTTGCTGAGATAGCCTTGGTGGAAGAGATAAGATAGCAACATGTATTTATCATGGTGGAGCTTGCAGCCTTCTTGGACTAAGGCTTTGCTTCATTGTGAAGGCTTTTATGTTGGGCCTTGTATTTGCATAGTATTTATCCAGATCATGCATCAAACAGCAGATCAATTCCAAGTGGGAGAATTAAAAACACAAAAATCATCAGAATTAACATTCATAAAAGGAAAATTTGCCAGTCAATCCGCACAACAGTTTTCTTCTCTGAAAGTATGAACCGGATGAACTCACCAATCCTTTTGAATCCATGTCCGTAATCGAGAAATCAGATGATTCTCGCAGACTGCATCACCATCACTAGTGAGCAGAGCAAGATTCAAGCTTCAAAAGAAGAATCTAAGTCCAAGAATTCTCAAGTAATATATTTTAGGACTTAGAATTAATTGTGAGGGTAATTGACTTCTTGCATGAATAAGCTCAAAAATATTTCTGTTAAAGCACATGCATTAAATCATTATTTGATAACAAAAAAGATTTATAGCATCACACTTTTATAAAAACATGTTTTCAAGATTCAATCAAGCAATTAAACATGTTTGAAAGAGATTTAAAATAAAAGAAGAATGCTTATGAAAGTATTTCCAACATTTCCAATAAGTTGGGAATCGGTTCCTTATGAGTGGGAATCAATTCCCACTCTCTGGAAAAGTTGGAAATCGATTCTCATAGCAAATGAATCGATTCCCTCGTGCACCAGAGGACGAAAATAACGGCTATAAACGGCTAATTTTGCGAAAATGGGTGTACAAAGGCTCATGGACCCCTTCTATAAATAGAGACTATTGTTCCATTGATTGGACAACTCTTCTTGATCATAATTCTTAATTTAATTCATATCATTTGCTTATTTTCATTCATCTTGATCATAAATACTCTTTGAGCTTAATTCTTGTGAGAGTGTCAACACCCATAGTTCTTCAACTTGTATAATCTGTACTTAGAGAGTACTTAGCTATTGTTAAACACCTCCATTTGATTTCTTGAATAGTTAGGGGAGTGAACCCTTTACACTTGAAAGGTCACCAAATTCCTAAGAAAATTTGGAGTGAAAAATTGTAAGACATCAAGAGCCCGAAGTCTTGAAAGGTTGTAGTGGTTTGTCAAGCACCTTCAAGCTTGATAGCTAGTGAAAAAGTTTGATCGAGCGGCTTCAGTCTGGACGTAGGTCACGGTGGTAGTGACCGAACCAAGATACATCTAGTTTGCAATTTCTCTAACCTTAAACTCCTTACTTTAGTATTGAAATTGCATTTGTAAATTGTGTCTATCTATTTGCTTGCTTACTTTATTATCACACACTTGCTCTCTGATATGTTATGTATCAAGAACAGGTAAAGGATTTCTCAAGTCAATGAAGATAAATTATTTCCGGTGAGCTCAAAACAATGCCGTTTTAAGACGGAAATTATGTTGTTTTTATAATTATAATTTATTGCAGGAATATATTAGTCTTTATTATTATAATTTTTTAAGCTTACAATTTAAAACGATATCGTTTTGGGCTTACCGAAGATAACTTTATCTCCACGGGAAAAATACTTTTCCAAAAAATAATCACACAATTATTATTATTTTTGGAGATAATAGGGATACTAAACCAGTAAATGCAATACACTCGTTTAGAGTCAATTGGGCTGAATTTTATTTTTTTATTTTTATCAACGAGCATATTTTGTTCAACATAAAAATTCTTTTTATTTAATTTATATATTAAGATGTATTTTTTTTTTTAAAAAAAAGTTCAAGAAATAATTTTGTAACCCAATTTTTTTGAATTTTATTAAATAAAATAAAATAATTTTCTCTAAGTCCAGTTTTGTCTCAATTCTACTCCAGCATCCCCATCCGTTATTATTATATGTTATTTATAATAATCTTTTATATAAAAGTGCTTATAATTTTTTAAATTTAAATAATTTTTATTTGAAAATATTTTTCATATATTCTATTGAAAACGTAAATAATTTACAAGATGTTATACTTACTACTTCTTTTCTCATAGTATTTTTTATTATCAAATCTTAACCGTTGATTTTCATCAATCTAACAATCGTAATTTATCGAATCATATTTATTAATTAATTATTAATTTTTAGTAAATTATAATTATTAAATTGACAAAAATTAACTATTAATATTCAATAATAAGAGCTAGTAAAAAAAAGAGATAATACTTCTAACCTTTCAAACAAAATAAAAAAAATCCTTTTATGAAAGTCTATAAAGTGCAATCTCGTCTAACTGAGCGTCGTTTAACAGTTGCACAATACCAAACAACTCAGGACAACAACTCAAGGGTTCCTTTGCTTCCAACGCACCAAATCCGAAACCTTTGTTCAATTTGATTTCCGGTGAGTTTCGTTTCAACGTTTCTTCACACTCTTGTTCACTCTCATGCTTTATTTTATGGTTTCTTATGAGATTCTTGTTTGTGTTTCTCAGTTACCTAAAAATCAAAAGGAAATTCAATTGTTTTCTGAAAAATGTCTGGGGAAGAGGAAGAAAACGCTGCAGAGCTTAAAATCGGAGACGGTAATCATAATCTCACTCATTCTCTTTATTTTCTTCAAATTCGTTTACTAAAAATTGATTCTCTTTGCTATAAATTGAAGTTAAAATAGATGTTGCTCAAGTGGCACCGAGATATTAATTGGTTAACTGAGCTTGTCCTTTTCACAATAGGCATAGAGCTAGTTGTTCAAGGTTTTTCTTTTTATGCAAATTTTGAAATCCCTTATTGGAAGTTTTACCCTTTTTTTTTTTTTTGAATATCATAATTCTTCGTTTAGGATTCTTACTTGTTTTATTCTAATAATATAAATATAATAAGGGAAGGGGAGCCTTGTCACAATAATTGGTGATGTTGTTCATATGACTCGAAAGTCACACGTTCGATTCATGTAATCAGCCTCTTGCAAATGCAAGATAAGCTTTGTAGCATTAGGCTAGCCTTTTTATAAAGATAATAAGTATGTCGGTTTATATCTTTATGCCTTCTAAATTATGGGTGTGAGAGTAATAAATTATGGATGCTTCTTTGGTTGGTTGTGAGGTAGCATCATGCAGGATGCACTTTGAACCTTGCACCTTGCACATAGCTTCATTCATTATACCATCGGAAATCTGATTGGATCTATTTTAGATGATTCTAATGTCTTATGTCATGTTTAATTGCTTGAGCATTTTTGTAGTTTGGTGGTATAATTGTTAATTTGTTATCACCCTATCATTTCACACTCGTGAAATAAATTTTTTCAGAGTTTTTGAAGGCAAAGTGCTTGATGAATTGTGAAGTTTCATTGATTCTTGAGCACAAGTATGAGCAGCTTCAGCAGACGGCTGATGATCCCATGAATCAAGTTTCTCAGTGAGTTAATTTCTTCATCAAATTCATGGTGTTAGTTTGACATAAAGGTCAGGAATAATGTTTTTACTGCCCTAAGGGCAATTTCTTTTTATCTCAGGTATAGGACATTTAAAATCTAGTTTGCACTTTGGTGTCCTTGAACTGTAATAATATTAACTTATAAACCATCTTGAGCTTCCCAATCAACACCTTGCCACTAATAGATTTGACATTGAAAAGAGGAACAAGTTGATGGATGTTATTAAAACCTTATAGTATTTTTCTCTATCTTTTTTCAGGGTATTTGAAAAGTCATTGCAATATGTAAAGCGTTTCAGCCGCTATAAAAATCCCGATGCTGTTAGACAAGTACGAGAGTATCCTCCAAAACCGAGTTGAAGAACCATTTGCTATTTCTGTCTTTCCATGCATCTACTTTCAATCGAATTATGTTGGTGTCTGTATCATGATATTTCTCAATGATGATTGACCTAATTTTCTTTTAAATACTGATTAACTTTTCTATTGTCTTTCTTGATTTCGAATTAACACAATTTTATTTTTATGTTTTTGAGAAATTGTGTGTTATTCATTTAATAAATTGAAGGGCTATTGTATCTCAGTACATCTCACTATCTCAGAGAATTGGTCTATGCTAATTTCTTTTCATGGAAGGGAATAATAAGAAACTTGAAATTTTAAACCCTTGCATCAGAATTGTGATCTTAACTGACTTTCAGAATTCTGGCTAGATACCAATTGGCTGAGTTTGAGGTAATGTGCCTATTCACTTCATGAATGCTGTTTAGCATGCGAGTTTTCACATTTTATTCAAAAAGAGTGAGTGAGTTCTCATTCCACACATTACAATATATGATTCTCTGTTTAAATGAATTTGTTGCAGCTGTGTGTCCTTGGCAATCTTTGCCCAGAAACTGTGGAGGAAGCTATTGCTATGGTGCCATCTATCAAGGTAGAGATCATTTGCTTCCCCTCTTTCTGTAAATTTTTCCTTTCCCTTAGACCTGTGATTGCTGAAGGATTTTGGTAGGTTAACTAGAAATCTCAAACAATTTCTATCATTTATCGTGGCTCTGAACATGCTGCTTCAGATACTTAGTTCTCTTGTCTTTTATTATAGTCTCACAAGCTTCAAATATTTGTCACATTGGACGTGGTTCAAAAGTTTTCTCTATTAAGTAGAATTAGTAAAGAAACCTTTCTGTTTGGGTGGTCTATGTTATTGTCGTATTGTAAATTAAACCTTCCAAGGTGGTGGTAGCTTTTGAAGAATTAATAGGGTGATTGATATTTGAAAATATTCATGCATGCTAACTCTTGAGTATTTTGTGTTTAGAATTATAGCACTTTAAAAAAAAAACCACTTCCCATGACACCTGACCTGTGAGGTTTGGTGTGAGAAGAATTCTTATATGCGGTCTTATCCTTGCAATTGTGATCAAAGTCTTGTGTTTTTTGATTTCTGGTCTCAAGTGTTGTTGTGGTCAAACATGAGGTTTTATGCATTTGCTGATGAGATAAAATAGGCCTGCCCGTTACTTGGAAATTATATTCATGCCCAATCGGCTTCGTGAAGTTGCTAAGCAAGTTACATTTTACATAATATATTTGAATGATAAACAAAAAACCAACTATTATATCTTTTACGTTAATTGCCTCGTTTTGTTTTACCTGCAGACAAGAGGACGGGCTCAGGATGATGAAGCAATTGAGAAAATGTTAAATGACCTCTCCTTGATTAAGAAATTTGAATAAAAGTTTCTTCCAATTGCCACAAGTGATGGTTATTTCTTGGGTGTGGTATATGCTATCTTGTCCAATGTTGAGAGTGGAGTAATTTTATTTATACTGTATAACATATCACTTCACAGCAAGCAAACCTGTTTTTGTAGTTTCTATTACAGAATTCATCGTTGGAAATTGTAGCTAGTTTATTTCGTGAATTTTATGAAGGAGGATTTGACAGAGATGCCTGCTGCTATAGGAGAGTGCCTTTGAGGTGTTAAAGATAATGATGTATATGTGATTATTGTCTTGCTGTCCTATTTAGAACATAAAGGTATATTATTATCCTTTAAATGGTGACAGGAATAAATGACGCTTGGATAAAGCACTGGCACCTACTAATGAATCGCGTAGCAGTTAGCAACCAACAAACTGGTTAGAAACAAAAGAAGATAAATGGTTTAAGGAAAGTTCAGCAAGGAGCCTGTTGAACAATCATTGAATTGGGGTGTGTAAAATAACTAAATCGAAGTGGACTGAATTATTTTTTCTAAATCAGTTTTGTAAACTGAACTGTTTTTATAAATTAATTTAAAATTTTAACTGAACCAAAATAACTGGTTTTGAAAACTAGGAAACCGAATTGGTTTGTATAACTTTTATCTTCGACCCATAATTGAAACACGAAAGACAATTGAAACACGTAAGGAAAATCCTCAATTTCCAATCTCTACTTTTCTCTCGTTATCGTTCTTCTTGCTGACTTAGCCATTAAATTGCTTATTACTTCTCTCTCGTTCTTTTTGCGGCTTGTGATTCAGTTTTTTACTTCCGAGCTAAAGGTGATTCCTACTTCTCTACCCTTCTTCTTGCTGCTTGTGATTCGTCACTTGTCTTAATCTTTGATTTGTTGGAAAGAGGAAAGTAATTGCGACCAAAAGGTCTGAGCATATTAATGCTGGAACCACTCAAAGGAACACGAGTGTGTGTAGCAAGCTTCCTAATTTCTGTACATGTTTTGCTTGCTTCCTTTCACCCATACTAAATCTGAGTGCGTGTCACATTCAGATTCTTCTGTTTGTCTTGCATGTACAGTTGCTCTCAACTCCAAAAAATTGGTGTTTGTCCTTCCCTTGATAAATGGAAAATGGTGGTTGTTGGTGTTGGGTGTGTGGTGGCGACAAGTGCTGGTTTCAACTTTGAGATGAGGCCTAATAATCCTTATAAAGCATTTGCTCTTGATCAAAGATATTAACAATAAACTGTCATTAACCCTCTTCCTCGTTGCTTTTATGGAATGGACTTTGCTGTATGTTCATGTTTCAATTTTAATTCATGTGTTTGTTGCTTTTTAATTCATGTGTTCAGATTCAGAAAAAGTTGTCATGCATTTGTATCATCGAAAGGGCCAATGCTATATCAAATGATAATGGGATTCAAAACCTAAAGAAGAGGTTAATGCTTTAGAGCGACTTAGTTTTGAAGGGTTATCACATTCACATGAGATGTTTTGCACATATTTTTATTCTAAGATTGAAAGATACTGATTATTCCAATTTAAGAATCCGCGCTGCATCCATCTAGGTTATTGAAATTCAAAGCGTGTGTTGAAAAGCTAAATGTTGACTATAAGGGTATGGTTTGTTTAGATGTTGAAATTAGATGTAATTCAACTTATCTTATGTTAGAGGCAACTTTGAAAAACGAAAAAGGGATTTTAGTAGCTTGAGTTGCAAGATAAGAATTATGTTCATGAGTTAGAAAAAGGCAAGGGCGTGCCTACATATGAAGACCGGAACCAAGCTCGTTAATTTTACCGTTTTTAAATATTTTCTATCGAGTTATTTTGTGTATTTCTGATACCTCTTATGTTACCAGTAAAAAATATACGACAGAGGTATTCAAAATTGGGAAGAAGATTTGCCAGATATGCAAGTCCAATGATATAAGTGGACTGACTCCGAGGATGAAGATAAAATATGATAAGTATTGGAGAAATCTCGATGAATATGCTGCTATTAATTGCAGTTGTGCTTGATCCTAGGTGCAAAATGAATTTTTTAAATTGGTCTCTTAATCAAATTTTTAATATTGGTGAAGCAACTGGCTTGAAAGTAAAGTTAGAATCTTGTTTGAAGTCCCTTTTTGAAGAAAATAGTGGTCAGAAATGGGTCTCTCAAGATGTTTAACAAGAAACACAATTCAATGATGATGATAATGATTTTGTTGATCATTTTATGCAAACAATTAGGCACAAATCACATGATAAAACTGAACTAAATAGGTACTTGGATGAAGCTTTAGAGAACTCTTCAGATGTTGATATTTTAACTTGGTGGAAATTAAATTCAAGTCGATTTCCAATGCTTGCAAGCATTGCTAAAGAGGTGTTGTTATACATGTCTCTACAGTGGATGTGCTTGTCTACACACAAGATTGGTTGAAATGAACACCTTTTTCAGTGCTTTCAAATGAAGAGCTTGAGAAAATTGGTAAGATAATAAAAATAATTAAATGTTTTTATTATATTTTGATTTAATAAGCAATTGGATATTTTTCTTCTTTCACAACGATGGTTTCTTAATAAGATGTTACCTGTTTGACCTCAAGTACCCTTGATATTGATTGACCATTGTGTATTTTCAGTTGTGTTCTGCTTAAAAAATCAATTAAATTTTTAGTTTCTATTCTGATGATTTTGTCAAGCTACTGTGGTCTAGAAGACACTTTATAACTTATTTTTTACATTCTTTGAGTTTAATTATCTTTAGATTATCATTTGAATGCCCCATATTCTCTATTCTTATGATTTCATGACATCTCAATAGTATAATGTATAATTAATGTATTAATCTTAATCATTTTCATTCTCCCACATATGACTGCTAACTTGGATTTTCTGCCCATTATTGCATAACTAATGTAATGTATGTGTTCATTGCATAACTAATAGATTGTTGTGGCCTTAGACGATGGACTGAGTAACAGGAGGCCCATTCGTATCAAACGCATTCCAGCCCGTTATAATGATTAATGGCAGAAGCCAATTGTTAGGCCTTTTTATGTCTTTGATTCAATCTACTAGAATTAATGTTAAATAGATAATGAGACAATTCAGAAAATAGTATATAGCCCATGAGGGGCGGTAAAGAAAAGTAAGAAAGTTTGGCACATCTATTCTTCTCTCTCTCTCAAACTCCAATCTCTCTCTATAACTTCTTCCCTAATCTCTAGACCCTACAATTGGTGCTTTCATTCTTGTCTCATCCTCCTTGTCATGGCGGAGAATACTCGCTTACGTGAAGTCCAGCAACGTTTGGATACACTTGAGCAACAATTCCGGGCGGCAGAGGTCAGCCGCGAGCAACAATTTCTATCTCTCCAAGACGCTAATTGTAACACCCCGTGTATACCCGGTAATGTTATCATACTATCGTATTAAGCTGCGCTTAATTAAAAATGCGGAATATCTTTTTCTTTTCATTTATGATGTCATTATACTTAGCCAAGTTGATTACTTAATCAATTTCATAAAATATCGCCTGTATGTAAATTGCAATAAGACATCTAATTGAAATACCTCAAAATGAGTATCTAAGTCACGGCATTACAACACGTAATCCGGACAATATCCTGATACATTATTACAACTCCAAATAAAACAAGACATAAACAAGTCTAAGTGGCATGGACAATCCCCACGCTCACCCAATCAACAGCATAATCAACCAAGTCTCAACATAATAATCCATGAACTGAAGCTAAAAGCATAAGACAGTAAACAGGATCCAGCATCAAACATAGCAGCATAAACATGCAACATCTATCAGCTAAGCTCTGGCCTCCTGCCACTAGAGGTCTCAACCCCCGCATTACCTGAACCTGAAATAAGCATTCCCCAAACGTGGGGTGAGATCTCTAAACCAGAAATCTCAGTAAGACAAGGGGTCCTCAAGGATCTTCCACCCCAAGCTCACTTACATGTGCAATATAAGTTCTAAAAGCAGTAATATCAATATCAGTTCCAAAACTATGCAGTGCAATAGATATTCATGCCATGTGTGTTTATCACTATTCTACTGGCCAGAGAAATGTAGGAATACGTCTATTACCCACACGTAGTACAAGGAACACCGCTTGCACCTCACCCATAGCCTCACCATCTTGTATGTACCACATACCCAGGCTTACCGTATAGGTGGAACACCATATGCATATCATAAATGCACTAGCATATAACAGCTCAACAGCATTTCCAAATCATCAAAAGCATGTAACACAACATGCATATAACCATACCCCCATGGGACATGGTGGAACCACAACATGGCTAAACCGAGGACACGAAAGCTTACCATGTAAGCTAACACCCAAAGCCAAGAGTCCACAGCTCAAAGTCCAAACACAGCAGAATCACAATCTGATATGGACCAACAATACATCAACAATCATACTCTACAAGTATACAACATAAAGACAACGCCTTTTCATTACGTTTTACGTCTTAAGGCTTCTCACCAAGCCATAAGCCCTTAATCCCATGATTCTGACTTGCATTAATTAATTACAGAAGTTCAACTTCCTCAAACTAGGGTCCACAAACCCATAGATCAGTTTTGGATGAACAATACGCTACTGTTCCTCGCAACCCAGAATATCCGGATATTCCTCGGGGACATATCCAGATATGCAATATCCGGATATCTCACTGTCCATATCCAGATATCAATATCCGGATATCCAGATCCCCATATCTGGATATTAATATCCGGATATTAATATCTGGATATCCAGATCCCCATATCCGAATATCCAATATCCGAATATTTCACGATCAGATATCCGGATATTTCGCGACAGAATGCAGTTTCTGCATTTCGCGAAGATATCCTTCCAAGGTTCCATTTTTAACACTTAAACACGTTAAAGCATGCATTTTTAGGCACATTAAGGTTCATACAATTGTTGGTTACTTGTTTAACTCATTAATCATACCAAGACACCTCTTTTAATCATCAAAACACATGACCAAAGGTTCAACACTTACTCAAGGCTTCAAACTCAGCAAATGAAGGCTCTTGGAGCTCACCGAAAGGTCCTCACAGTTCTGACTTCAAGGAAATACGAAAATGGCACCAAGGTTAGTCTTTTACTACATCAAGATGAATACTTGAAGCTTCAACAAGCCAAGTTAAAGGCTCCAACAACTCAAAGCAAGGAAACTCAGCTCCAACTCTCCCAAGTAGTGGCTAGACACTCAGTAATGCTACCTCTCACCCTCACAAGGATGCTCACAAGTGTATGGAAGGAGAAGGAGAAAAGGATCAATGAGGAAATAAGCAAGAAAGACCACTTGGCTCACCAAAATGGGAA